AGTAAGAGAATGAGTAAGAGGATGAGCCGCACGATCGGCATGGATTGTTTATTAAAAAAATAATTTAAAATGATTTAGCACCTGCTAAATCATTAGGTGCAGGGAGAAGCTCCCTCTGCAGCCTGTCACGATCTCCGCTCTCTGCCGCCTGCGGCTCTCGGCCACGCCCACATTTCACCTCTGTGCTTTAACCCTTTGCTGTCCTGCTGCGCTTCTCTCCTCTACAATTTAAATTTAAAATGTTACAGTATTTAAATTGTTTATTTACACAGAAGGTGGGAGATTGGGAGTGAAAATTGGAATACTGTATCTCACGGTTTTTAGCTTATCACGGGGGGTGTGGTCCCCCAAACCCCCGTATATCATTCTTAAATTGCAGCTTTGGGCCGCACAAAGTCACTTTAAGGGCCGCAAATGGTCCACGAGCCACACTTTGAACACCCCTGTTTTAGATTACGGATTACAAACTATAATTTCAATTTTTTTTTTTTTTTAGCTAAACTTGTGAACTTGTTACCTGAAATAAAAATAAAAAAACAACAAAAACAAAACAAGTTGACAAGTCATTTCTAGCAGCTCTAATCGGTCAGTTTTTCAACCCTCCAGCTGCCCTTGGGTCAAAATGACCCACGAGGCCTCGTATTTATTAAATGTTATGGGCCAAAGTTTGTTTACAAAAGTGACAAAATGAGACAAAAAAAGAGTGAGTTTTTAGTGTAAATTTGGGTGAAGCAGCTGTTGCTGCTGAAAGATAAATCACTGGAGTAAAGAAAAAAGGAAATGAGCCATTTAAAAAAAAACTTATTCTTTTCCTGCCCCACAGCCAGTGAGCTCTGTCATCCAAATCTGACGCCAGCTCTTAAGTTCACACAAACCTTTGGTCTGAAACTGCTTTTAATTTCTTTAAAGGAATCTCTGACTATGTGCACATGTTCACCTTAATGTTATTTCCGTGTTCTACTAAAACTTGTTGTTTGTGGCACTTAAAAATACATAATTACTTTAAAAGTTATATAGGGCCTATGTTTATTACATTTAGGACATTGCTGTTCACATGCTGGGTGATGACGTACATCGTTGCAGAAGGAATTAAACCTGAAGAGTCGAGGATAAAACATTATAATCTGTAACAATAAATTTATATTTTGTATTAGTTCTTATGTCATTATGTAGAATATATGGGTCAAAGCGATTAAATGTGATCAACTGTGATGTTTAGTTATTAGCTCCAGAGCTAATGCTTTGAGCTCTATAGCTATCATCATATTTATTACCTCTGGACCTAACGAGCAAACAAGGTGTTAGATCCAGAGCTAATAAACATATATATATTATATATTTATTAGCAGGCAGCACGGTGACGCAACTGGTAGAACTGCTGCCTCTCAGCGAGCAGGTCCCTGGTTCAAATCCTGGTCTGAGGGCCTTTCTGGGTGGAGTTTGCATGTTCTCTCCGTGCATGTGTGGGTTTTCTACGGGTACTCCGGTTTCCTCCCACAGACCAAAAACATGCATGTTAGGCTGATTGGTAACTCTAAATTGTCCCTAGATGTGAGTGAGAGAGTGAATGGTTGTTTGTCTCGTTTGTCTCTATGTGGCCCTGTGATGGACTTGCGACCTGTCCAGGGTGTACCCCGCCCCTCGCACAGTGATTGCTGGACATGGGCACCGGCGACCCCCGTGACCCAAAATGGAAAAAGCAGGTAAAAGATAATGGATGGATGGATGGATATTTATTAGCTCTGGACTTAACACTATATTTATTAGCTCTGGAGCTAATGCCATATTACCTAGCTCTAGGGCTAACAACTTTTTTTTTTTTTTAGCTCTGGAGCTAATGCTATTAGCTCTGAAGCTAATACCATATTATTTATAAGCTCTGGAGCTAACACCATATTTATTAGCTCTGGAG